TACATGTAGGTTGAACTATACAGTGTATGTACAGGTACGTGCATATGCTTTATCACACAAATAAATCCTTGGTCTATCTTGCTACCCGACACAGTGCCTACCAGGCTACATTATTTCACACTGATGTGTAGAAGCGTGCAGGGTTAATGAATGGATGGAAAAATGGAACTGAATTGGTCCATACAAAGTCTTGGTTAATGTACTTTGAATTGCCTTTGTTGTTAGTTATAGCCAAATCACATGCAACAACAGCACATGAACATAAAGGCTTTGAAAACATAAAAAGCCTGTATTGTTAGCCTAAAGCATTTCTAAGCAGAAGCCTTCAGGATCTGCCAAAACTGAACATTGCATGATGAACCATAACACCATTCTCTGTGTTAAATAAACACAGGATATTGATGCCGATGCAAAGTAATAGTAAACGTACATGCAGGTGAGATGTACATGTACAGTGCCACCAGAAAGGAAAAAAACACTACTGCAAGAAGCTTTGCATGCTGAGCAAATATCTTTCAAGGGCAAATCAAACACAAACAGGCATCCAATACTATGAACCACCAAAATGTTCCAAACCAGGCCAAAGTCACTTTGATATATTAACACTTTCTCTCTCCATTGCTCATGTTTATGCTTCAAAGTGATTCATCGTGCAAACTCTATCTCTGGAAAGGAAAGCTTTAATAGTTATGGGTAATGAAATTTGTGCTATTTGCATTGCTCATGTGTAAATAGTCAAACCGCACTAAAAAAAAAGACCTGCAGGCTCTGAAGATGATAATAAAACAATGAAAAAACAAAATATTGGAACCTACATTGTAAAATGTCGTTATTACAATCAGAACGTTGTAAACAGTGCTTTCATTAACAAGGTTCGACTGTACCGATGTCAGGTTCCAAATAAACTGCTAAGCAACCTTCAGCCTGGTTTTGGAATGGTGGGCCACAAATTATTTCTATGCTTAGCCAGTTTTTTTTTACAAGCAGTTCTGTAACAAGGTCCCTAGCACTGCCACGATTGCTCTCTGACAGATTAGTGCAGTTAGGGTTAGCACATAGATTGGAAAGAAATAAATGTTATCAACAGCAGATAGTGAGACATTTCTGACAGGTGCAACTTTGATCCAATACTGAAGTGGAATATTGTTTTTCCCACAATTGTTATCTCATTTTTTCATCCTTTGCGAGAGAAGAGAGAACTTGTCAACTTTTGGGTTTTTCCTTGCTTTGGATTCTTCTTTGTTACTGTCTCGCCTCAAGTAACTTTTAGTTTTGAGGGGAAACTTCAGTTAAATTGAAGTGAATGGGTAACTTACCCACAGCAATACCGATAGGTCCTCCACAGAAACCCCCAATCACCGCCCCCGCACCAGCCATGGCTCCGCCTTTCAATGTCTCCTTCACTGTTACTTTCAGGTTTTCTTCTGTGGCTAGCAAAGCCAATAGCCTGACGAGTTCTTCTGGTGAGACAGGCATGATGTCTTGGTGGTCTGTAAATTGGTTCAGAAGTGGAGAGTTTTGAGCAATATGGACGTCACTGGTCACAGGAGACTGGATACTTCTGAAAAATTAGGAAACATTTACAAGTAAAGTACCCTAGGATTTTTATCACAATGGCTTTGAGATTATAAGCATGCTACCCAAACCTCTATTTCAACAAGTTTTGGAAATATTCAATTCATTTTCCCAGCTGCCTAAGAAAAGGGATATACAATATCTTAAGGAAATTACAAAAGGTTTTTTATCTTGAAAGCAAGAAATCAATGTAATGGGACTTTGATTTTTGGCAAAGAGAATACATGTACATGTATCTGTTAATTTCATCTGTTCATTTCACACAGACTGCATAACATATGGCAGGTTCCTCAAAATATGGACCATCAGATAATGTTCAACTTTGGGGGTTCATTTTTCCTGAAGAGAACAGCAGTGAATTAATTCCAATGTCTGATGTAATAAGGGCAGTCATGGCTGATATCTAGAACAACGATGACCGTGTCCATCTTTGAACTTAGAGTTAATTAAAGTCTGGAACGTCAGCATTTTTTACGGACATGAACAACCTGTTGAAATCCTAGTCAATAAAATTTACCGAGGAGTGATAATCCCCGTGGTTATTTTACACAGATTTGTATGTGGTGAAAGGTGATAATATCTACAAATATTATTGATTATATATTAAATATATAATCACGAAATTAAAGAACACCTCTCATAATTAATCGAGTCCCGAAGTCAGCAGTCCGTCAATTTTGTGCTTTTATTTTCGTGGCTTATATTTTTAAGTTATTTCTTAAGTGCTTTAAAATACATTAGTTGAAAAATATACAGAATTCTTCTAGTTGTTGAAAGAAGTTTTGAAATCAAATCCTCTGGTGCAAACAGTTTGACGTAAAACTTTAAATGAATTCAACTCCATTTGATTTGCACTGGTAGCCAACCAAATGTCCGACAAATGTACACAGTATGCCTAATTCTCCCAAAATAATAATTTTTTATAAATCTGAAGGAGCTAATTTGTATTTTACATGATCAAAGTCACTCTTTAAGAAATTTTGAGAAATGACATCCAGAGTTGCATTTTGGTCCATTTTATGAAGTACATGTTTCTGCACGGCAAGGTTTGTGAACAGGAATGTCACTATAGGCCTCCTTAATGTAACACAACGCTGTAACAAGTATTTAAAAGTCACTGGCTCTGTAGGAAAATGCACGAGCAAAGTGTGACATCATCAGTACCGAATCTCAAAAAAACTTTCTGAACTAGATGACACTTTTACCTTCTGGCACTGAGAAAGCCCCCCCCCCAGTTAAGATTTGAAAACATACTGTGCGTTGATGTCTTGTAGGGATATCAGGCATACATGTACCAGATCATTTACAAAGCCCGGGAAAAAATAGGTCATTAAACCCAGGAAAAGATAGAAAGAATGACCTTAACATTCAGTTGGCTAAAGTACAGGACTTGTAAATCTTACACTGAGAGTACAGTTGAACCTCGGTAATAAGAGGCTGTTTGGACCAGGCAAATTACCTTGTTATAACAGGAACCTTGCATTATCAGGAATGAAAACGATGATGAGCAAAGGATTGGGACGTAAAGATGTCCTTGTTTTAAGCAGAACCTTGCACTGACATTGCTCTTATTAACAAGGTTTGACTATAATGACACACACGATGAAATGATTAACACTACCAATACATGTACAATACCACTGACTGTCACACAACTACATGTATGGTTGATTTGTACCTGCACATTTTAGCTGTACAAATATGCATGAACACTCTAGAGCAATAAATCACACATTGTCCTCTGTACAATATAAAAGTTAACAGAACCTGTTGAAATCTCTGTACTGTGACAGAAATCCACTCAGATGGACTGTGCAGACATCCATTCAGACGAGCAAGTCTCAATAGTCTGTCCAAGTCAGTGCAGGTTTCTATCACAAGATTATCTAAAATCGATGCAATACAGGAGCTGTTCTTTTCATTTCACAGAACAGGGACTGTCCTTAAAAGTTGCCAGAATATAATTTGGCACAGATGTAATACATTTATGTGCAGTTTCTAGGAATTCTTGGCATTTGCTAACCATCAACATTTCTTTTAGGCAAAACTGAGAAGAATTACAAGCCTAATTTCAATCAGAATGCCTGGAGATTTGATGTCAGTTTTACATCAAGAATAAGGAACTGAACTGGCCATAAAATGACCACTAGAGATTTCCACGGAGTCACAGAAGGCCCTTGATTAATCTTCATCCATAACTGGCCCACTGTACCAGCACATTGTGTAATTTATGTCTCGTTTGAAGAACAAATCCCGGATACTTTTTGTGCACCAATATGTACAAATAGAGCATTATTGTGCTTTGTCTAGCCTAGCCTGATGGACATTTCCATCAAGGCAGTTTTTGTAGATATTTTAGTGTCAAAATTAAGGCACATTCAATTGAAATTGTGAGGATCATTACACGCCGGTCAAAGTAGTTTTGAGAGAGTGCCAGATCTGGCCACCACCTTGCATTTCAGACCTTGTGCACAGAGTCTGTTGGCCACGGCAGAGTCTAAGACAGTTTTTTGAAAAATTTGAAATGTGTTCACTCCAAAGTTGTGTTTCTTCATCAGATTGACACTTTTTGGTAGTTTTCAGGTCATAATATGAAAGACAAGTGGCAGCTGGAAATGGAAAATTTCTTTCTGACCACTGTCAATGCTTGAGGATACTGGGTTAACTCTGGGCATGACGCTGCATGTACATGTACTATCTGATGGCTGCCATAGATAAATACCGGTACATGGTATGCTGGGTCCAGCAGGGGGCAAGTATTTTCAATACAGGCTTCACTTCATGTCTTACAGGGAACCAGACCACATACATGTGTCCTGATGATGAATGTGAATAAATAATGACGACATCTCCACAGAAGTAGTGATACCATATGCAAATGACCGATTTCGCAGCCAGCAGCACAAACGCCAAAATTTTTACGCTTTTTTTTGCATTATCATCGCGGAATAATGTCTTTAGAAGACCAATCTTCTCAGCAAGACAACCCAGTGTCCCTGAAGATAGTCCGAGACACCATTACAGCTGCTCTTGGAGATTTTAAGGGACATCTTGATATATCCTTGGATAACTTTCGTACAGAAAATAAACAGAAACAACAGACGACCACCGAGGTCGTACAGCAGCTAAAACGGGAATCGGAGCTCACATTCCGTTTCAAAGGGAACAAGTCGCAATACGACTTCAACACAGGTATTGTAGAGAAACTGCACAGAGAAGAAATGTTCCTGAAGGAGAAGGACTCCAAGTCAGCAAAACCCCTGGTTGCTGAGGCCATTGCTGGGATTAAAAAGCGTAACAAATTAATCAGATTAGCTGATAAATCTGATGCAGGTCAGTGGTACCATGAATTAATGGAGCTTATACGAAGGGAAACCCAATCAGAAAGTTTACATAAAAAAAAAAGGCATTCCACGTTAAATAATACGCGACGTACTTAGTTGAGAATAGAGTGGACACTATGAATAGATAGTACACATACATTGTAAATTACAAAACGACTGAGCATTCCACAGTTACGTCTGTAAGCATGAAGATCTTTGTATTGACTTAATATATTCATTTTGCATTTCTCGTTGCACTGTGAATAGCCGAAGCATGTACATGTACATATACATGTGTACGTGTGTACAATATATACTGTATAGAGATTGAGCATTTCAGGTACGTTTTGGTCCATGACGATGCTTGTATCGATTTAATATATGTGCATTAAATTCTCATTGCAGGTTGGACAGCTGTCGATGAATACCTCAGCGAAGAACTTGCAAGTGATTCCAAAGATGAAAAAAGAATCAGACAAGCACAAGCCGGAGCGGTTCGCAAGAACCGCAAAAGCAACCAGCTGGTTAGCAATAAGCGGCAGCGCCAGAATATTGGCTCTGATAACTCTGCTGGTCCTTCCACAAGCACTGGGCTTTTTTGAGGCTTTTACCCAAACCGTAGATTTACGTCTAGGGTAAGCTCATTCTGGTACACAGCAGCAAAGCCCACCAATATGTGCTTTGCCTGTGGGAAGGCAGGGCATTGGAGGCACAACTGCAGACAGCAAAAGCAAGCCATGTCAGGAGGGAAAGATTCAGTCGGTGGAAATACCACACAGCTCCAGCAGTAGCAGAGTATATGCGCAAGTCATCATCCATGAAAACATAAGCGAGGAGACAGGGTATGATTTCGATTATTATCTTGCTAATTATGTTGAATACGAGCAAGGTGCTGATGAGCCCATTATTAAAGGTAGATTGAAAGCTGCAATAGAATTTTGGAAGAGTACAGACACAAATCCTGTGGTTTTTGACATCATTTTGCATGGATATAAGTTGCCCTTTATTCACACTCCACCGCGCAGAATGTTCAAAAATAACAAGTCTGCCCTCGATAATAGCAATTTTGTTACAGAAGCTATTTCCGAACTTTTAAACAAAGGATTAATCTCTCATTGCGATAATGCGCCACATGTGGTTAATCCATTGACAGTCTCTATTCAAAGGTCTGGAAAGAAGAGGTAAATTTTTGTCTTCGTCATGTAAACCAGTTTCTTTGGAAAGATAAGACCACATTTGAAGACTGGAAAGTGGCAAAGTCGTTTTTTAAGAAAGGTGATTTTTTATTCTCATTTGACCTGAAATCCAGGTATCATCATATCGAGATTTATCCTGATCATTGCAAGTTTCTGGGTTTTGCCTGGACTGTGGCTAATGAAGCCAAGTATTATTCATTCTTAGTCTTACCATTTGGTCTATCCACAGCTCCTTACGTATTCACGAAGTGTTTAAGACCTCTCGTTAAGCATTGGCGGAAACAGGGATTTTTTGTAGTACTGTATCTTGATGACGGTTGGGGTAGAGCGAATACTGAGAGCTTAGCCGACAGCACTGCCTCGAGTGTAAAATCAGATCTGCTATCCGCACGGTTGGTACCGAACATACAGAAGTCCGTTTGGACTCCAACACAGAGTTTGACTTGGTTGGGGTTAGTATGGGACTCGAGAGATTGTTCAATGAAAGCATCAGATAAGAGGATTCAAGACATTTTAAGCTCTATCGATGATATTCAGAAACAATTACTATATATTACAATTCGTAAACTTGCCTCAATCACAGGTAAAATTATTTCTCTGATTCCAGTTGTTGGCAATATTTCCCAATTGAAGACGCGATTTCTCCATTTAGAAATTATTCGGGGGGTTCACTGGGACTATCGATATAGACTCAGTGGAGACAGTAGTTTGATTGAGGAGTTGGTTTTTTGGAAGACAGAAGTTATAACACTGAATAAGCGTTATGTGCATACATATTCTCTTCCTGAACAGATTGTATATACAGATGCGAGCCAAGTTGGATGTGGAACATGGACAACCGGGTGTGCGGGAGAAACGATTCTGCAAAGACACTGGAGTGACGCAGAACAAGTTAAAAGTTCCACATGGAGAGAGTTGGAAGCGGTACACTTGTCATTGCAAGCATTTGCACACAGATTTACGGGGAAAGTAGTGAAGCTTTTCACAGATAATAAAGGCATGGTTTCAGTGGTAAACAAAGGCAATATGGTAGAAGAATTACTGCTTTTAAGTCTGGACATGATCAGACTGTGTAAACTCCATGAAATCAAATTTGATGTACAGTGGATACCCAGACATGCAAATCAAATCGCTGATGAGATCAGTTGAGAAGTGGATTGGGATGACTGGGGAATTTCCCAGGAATTCTTTCAATTTATTGATAACACATGGGGACCCCACACAGTGGATCGGTTTGCAGATGAGACCAATATGAAACTACCACGATTTAATTCCAAGTATTCAGTCCCTGGTACTAGTAAAGTAGATGCATTCTCATGCAACTGGCACGGAGAGAACAATTGGTTAGTACCACCCACCAATCTTGTAAGAGATGTTCTGAGGCATTTGGAATGCTGTTGAGGACAAGGAACTCTGGTAATCTCATGTTGGCCTTCAGCCCCGTTTTGACCTCTATTCTCTGATCACAGTTCATTCAGTCAACTGGTCATCTCCACCATGACATTTACAGATCCTTCCAATATTGATGTTCCAGGAAGAAATCAAAAAGCATTATTTCAATCCCCATTGCTAAAGTCGGGAGTACATGTAGTATGTATTCAATTAACCGGCTAAATGGCTATGCTAAATTACTCTAGACATGCATATACGACACGCATATAGCTGAAGCCGTCAGAGCCGAGTGGCATATTGTACGACATATGGCAAAGAAAGCCGAATGGCAGGGATCAACCGAATGGTAGCCTAAGCCAGATGGCAGGAACATAGCATCATGGCGTCAGTTCAGCGTACCGTGTACACTCCAGGTTGAGTATACCCTGTATATAGCACAGTGAGATGACAGTACATGCCAGCCAAAAAAAACAATCAGGCAATTTGTTATTTTCCCTTCAGGATCGACGAGGGTGAGTTTGTTTCAACCTTAGCTCCTATCTTGGATGATGACACAGACGAAAATTTCTTATTCAGACCAATGAATTACGTAAAATCACAAAACAGGTATAAGTTGAGATCCGGTCAACTTTCTTATTCATCATGCCTTGACATATTCAAGAAGGCTCTACTTTCAGTTGGAGTGGACCCCAGAAAATGCGGGCTGCATAGTCTGAGAGCTGGGGGAGCCACGGCCGCTGCAAACATTGGAGTCCCAGGCAGGCTTAAAAAAAAAAAATGGGCGTTGGCGTTCAGAGACAGCAAAAGATGGGTACGTGAAAGAGTCATTAAAAGATAGAATGTCTGTATCCTTAAGATTAGGATTGTAGTTTGTATTTAGAAGCTTTATGCAATTAATTATTAACATATAATAATTGGAGTGCTATTTAATTATAGCTTACCCTAGAATAGCGGAAATAGTCATTGAGTTATCGATAAATGTATAAAACAGTGTTCTGAATGGACAGACAACTACAGTTGTATTTATGCCTGATACATCGGCCCGCTCTTTAATTCCTGATTAATAAAGGATATAGATCCGACACATTGCTGGCCATCGAAGTTCAGTGCTCCCCAAATGTGTCGTATATTCATTGTCTTCTTTGCAGGTGGCATAATAAAGGGGGGCTTATTATGAGGGGAGACGGCAACGAAAACAACTTATTCGCATTTGAGGGTCAAATTAGAGAATAAAGTGTCCATGTATGAATGGAATGCTACAGACTACACTTTCTGTGTTGAATGATGCGATTGGCCCGTACGTTTGCATGGGCTTGAAACTCACCAATTGGGAATGGCAGCTTTACCTCATGCGTGTTCGATGACTTCAAACTTATTTTCATTCCCAGTTTTGACTAATGTTATGTGGCTAAAAAACCTCCATAGACAGGATGAAGGATTGACATGAAGAAAAACTGTTTTGACCTTTTATTTTTTGGCCTTTTATAGACATCGTTGCTCGTGACACCATGAAGGAACAAGGCGAAAACTAACAAAGTGTTATTAAAAAGATATGACTGAATAATGAAAAAAATTAAAAATTGCCTTGTGTTTTCAAAACTTTCGGATGCAAATCCGTTTTTCATAATCATGACCTAATAATCTGCAAATCACATCATGAGCAGTAGGACTAGAGTGCTTAAGCTACGATGAAATCCAACATCTGCCCCACTCCCATGAGCAAGGCAGACATCAGACCCCACAGCTGGGGGTAATGATGGCACATGTGTATGAACTACACTGTACCCAGTGGTACCTCAGTTACCTCCTCAAATACCTCCACTGTGTGGAACTACATCATACATGTATGATGTACATTAAAAGCCTGCCAAACACGTCAAAAATCAAGGGCCTGGGCCTACTTGAAGAACTCCATGTCACTACCAGTCGTAGTAGTGGGTAGTCTAGTAGTATGGGGTTTTGCATGGAGAAGCATCATACAATGACATCACTGACTTTTCTCTACAGTGGTATTTAGCACAGAAAATACTGAAGCATTTTAGGCCTACTTGCAAAATAACTTGGCAATGAAATTTTGAAAGATTCAGACCAGTGTCTACAGCTATGGTATCACAATAAAGCATGCTGTTCAACAGTTATCAATCCACGCGTATCCAGGCCATCTAGTTTTCTAAGTTGTACACTTAGCATTGCTGCTAAGTCTATCTTTCTTACAAGGCCTAGATATGTGGATTGGTAACTGTTGATCGGCAAACGTCAAGTGATGTTACCCGATGTCATTAGCGCGTTAATCATGATGGTTAGCATGAGCATGGAGCTACAGAGCTATCGTTGAAGAATAAAGTAAGCCTAGGCTATCGCTAATCAGCCTACACGATGACATTGACTACCAAAAGTACTGCACCTTCCTCCATGCCACTACTGAGTGGCATGCTGGGTTTCCGATGCGAAGCGAAGCGCAAGCCACTGAAATTCAATTCTGTGGTGGCGAAAAAGAGACAGCAATTTTCACAAAATTGAAAAACCATTACCTGATCACTGTTCTTTAAATTCAGGCGCTGTTGGCTAAAAGCACATTTTCCCTAAGGAAACTGAACTATTTAATGTGGTACAAACATACACACACACAGCAAACTTCGCCTCCGCAAAAACCGTCGACGTGGAAATTCAAGAGAAGCATAGTGTGCGACCTCTAGCGCGTAAAATACTTCATGTACTTCCGGGCCAAAAAATTGACAACGGGGCAATATTGCATATTCATTATACTGCGGGCAAATAGACTATAAATATTCATAAAGTTAAAAATAGACCTGTTTGCCTAGCCACAAAATCTATTAGCGACTTTCTGTGTAGGAAGATGAATCACTGGACTATTTGGATCACAGCAAGGAAAGCTGATTGCTGAATTGTTCGATAAAAAGAATACCTTCCCTTCTCAATCCTGGTACGCTTATTTTTTGGGGGAAAATTTGACCCTGACAAAAATGACAGCCAGCCAGCAGTGCAGTACATACAGTGATCACGTTAGGTATCACGTGCACTTGTTATGACTAGACCAATCCGGAAAATAACAGGAGTCGGCAATATTCTGAAATCACGAAGTTATACCTTAACAGTGATTCACCGCTGAGAGTGACACTGAATTGGAACAAAATAATGATCATAAACTTATGCATCATGAATTGGTACATATTACCCCCGTTTTAATTTCCTGGATAATTGGACATGATTGAGAATTACCCATTAAATTTTGGTATCGCCTAAATTGTTTACAGGCCTCGGAAAACGTCACGTACTTACATTACGCGTAAATCAGCTGGTCGCTACTCTTCCATGTCAACAAAACCCATCTCAACCCGGTCTTGCACAAGATTGCGCCATTTTTAACGGCAATTTACAAGCATAAGTGTTCATATTTTTACCCGTTTTGTTAGCCATCAGCAACGGAGATCATCTGTGCCGTATTAGTAAGGTAAAAAATATGTTGAAGCATCATTTTTAAGCATGATATCCAGTTTCGTAGTCAGTCGAATCGTTTCACGAGCTGCAGCTGGAAAATGATGTGGGCGGTGACCGATCGCCGCCGAAGCTCGTTGGTTTCTCTCCTCTAGCCTCCAGGTTTATGTTTGTACGTACGGTCAGACGGTACGGTCGCGGCTTGAAGATGGGCTGGGTCATTCACTGAGTCAGTGATTTCCAAACCCCGGAACTGAATAAACCTGAAATGCTCTTGTAAAATTTGGAAAAATTAAAGCATCAAATAAATTTCATGAATTTAGATCGGCCTAGTTTACAGGCTTTATCTTGTGTTAAGCTACATGTAATTTAGGGATAATTTTCAGATGATTCTTAAACTGTTTCTGCTTCTGTATTTCCATTTGCAGTTTAGCATGTCAGACTTTTAACATAGTTCCTTTTCAGATCAATTAATATTTTAGCAAAGGTCCACAGCTGATACAGCCTCAATGGTCATATTTTAATCTGAGCATGATCTTGGCAAATCGCCAACATGAGTGCGATGGGTACAATTTCAAAGGTAAAAGTGCATATTTTTTAAAAAGTCCTGTGAGGTCAAGTTCCTGTCAGTGTTTACTTAAACCTATTTGTAAACATGCACGTTAATACTCTGGATTTGTCATGTTTGTTCATGTCAAGAATGTTGATGGATATATGAGTATTACAAATTTTAAGGAGAACAGTTTGTGATATATATATGTACAGTGATGGATTTCTTTAATATTTCAATCTGAAGATATGTGCAGTTCAAAATTGCAAAAGGCTATAAAGTGTTACTGTTAGTGTAACACAACCAAATCTGACCATTTTAAAAGGCATGAAGTACATGTACTTTACTTTTAAAATCAACTTGAAGCTTTGAGTTTATTTTCAGTAGTGAAATTTCAAACTCTAAGATTTTAACTTTGACAAAATTCCTGCTTAGGCTGGACTCCCTGGAAGTGGGAGTTTCTAAGTAGAAAAGTGCCTAGCTAAGTTGAGCAAAAAAGTGCTGAGCAGTTTCCTATCAATGCTCAGTTTTTTTTTTCTGTGCTTACACATATACCCTGCATATGCATAATATTGGCCCCTGGCTGCCCACACTAACTTTGAGTGTAGCCTAATCACAAACCATACAGTCCGACCTACAGACAATAGCGGTCTTAAGAGTAAGAAGTGAATGGTAATTGGTGTAGAAGCTTCAATGCTCTACCAATGGGGTGGACCATCACGTGCAGTGTGCATGTCTCTGACATGTCAATGAACAATGTGTCCAGCTTTTGTTAACATTATTAAGCGACACTATCACCAGGAAAAGAAAAATCTCCACCTTGAGGCTTTGGCCTAACTTGGGTCAGACATTGTACCTGGGTTCTAACACATGTAGGAACCAAACCACAAAAATTAAGAAGCATCAACAGCTTTTGCACAGAAACTGTAGATTTTAGAATTATTTGAGATTCATTTTGATGTCACAATCTTGTCATTCAATGTTTTTGCATGCCTTCGGCCTACTTTCTCTGACTCACTTGACTGACTGAATGGAATCAGCGTAGCTTGCTGCTGCATGCTGACTTGAACAGACCCCAGATGCCAAACGCAAAACAACAAAATGATAAATCTGGAATTTCATAATACCCTGAAAATTGATTCTGGTCACTCAGACTGCATGCAAAGGAATGCCAGCACTGTCCTTAACTGTCTTGTTAGTGACATGGATCAGTGTGGACATATATATAGTACATGATATGGAATTGTCAGGAAATGAGATAATCATCTCCGAGGGTAGCACCCCTTTGTTATGGTGGGTGCAGCATAGTCAGTGACTAAACATGGGCGTGGCTACAGAAAGCAACAGAGGGAGTTAAATGTAGTTTATTTATGAAGAGTCAACAATACATGTAGTCTAGACAGACCCACATCTTTTTATGTGTGACAGTTGTGTGCTTGTTCGTGCTTTTCAAGTTGCATTGTAAAAGCAGGTTGAAAAAAGTACAAAAAACTTCAATTTGTTTACCAAGTAAAGCCAGTTCATACTTGATGCGAAAGTGAAGACAAATGCAGTTTGGTGACATGAGATCAAATATCCATGGTGCAAACTTGCTAAAGTCCAACACATTTGACTGCAAAGGTTTCGCGTAGTCAAATTCACTTTTCTCTTGCATTTGCCTGAAGTATACATGTAAACCAGCTGGGGGAGGGAATAAATACAGGTTGTTCCAGAGGATTTCGAGATTTGTACTCTGGCTTTTATTGTATTGTCTGGAATTCCCTGCTTGTTATTATATGTAGGCAAAATATTGGTAACGAGAACTCCAAAATGGTCTATGTGATACATACATGTACATGACAAATACAGGCACAGTTTATCAGAATCATTCTGATCCGATGGGGCGGGGTTATATACCCAGACAGCTCCAGACAATTGGGGAAGAGAAATCATGTCCGAACACGCACAGTTCTTTGACACACACCTTGTACATGTATGTCAATAACAGGTCTGATAGAGCCTGGTGATATAACAATGCACAATGAACACACACAGGTCACCAATGGAAGGCTGGCGACACATGGGTGCAGCTGTTGTACCTTGATATCTATAAATATAATGAAGCAAGATATGAGACGCAGAAAACCCCAGCTGCTTTGTGTAGGTCATTGTTTCGCTGGAATCTGAGGAATTCGTTCAGACATCCAGGGGGGGGATGTCATAGATAACAATAGTCTAGAGTGTGTTTAGCGATTGGACATGTTGGGGGGGTACCCCTCAGTCTCATTTCTTGCTGGATAAATCCATGATGCAGTCATGTCACTGTAACCAGAGTTAATTACTTAGCAACAGTGTCCTGGGTCTGTGTATGTTTCGTTCATTCGTTTTTCAATTTAAAAATGAATATTACACAACCAAACAGAAGTTGTTCTTCATCTTTCAATTTAAAAACGGAAATCAAAAAATAAAAAACAAGTAGTTTTTCGATTTGAAAACAAAAACTGAGGAAAAAGACGAAGAAGTAGTTTCTTGTTTTTCCTGTTGAAAACGAAAAACAAAAGTAATCTTGTTTTAAATTTTAATCCCAATCAATCCCACGTAATTTGGAGGTGTCACAGACGTCTCTGAGCACTTCTCAAGATAAAAGTTGCCTTTTGAGCATGCCAGAAATTTCCTTGAGAGTTGCTCCTCCTTTTACTTTGTAAGCAATGAATTTCAGTTCAGCCATGTTTGCTTTCATGGCTTACAAAGATGTTTCTTACATTATGCAATGAAAAATTGAACTGTTTTTTATTCTTGGAGCAATAGATTACATTGTTGATCATTTTTACTTTGAAAAATGAAAAAAGAACGTGATTATTATTTTTTGTTTTCAATGGAGGGTGAGAAGCGACTTTTTCCATTTTCATTTTTTGTTTTCACATAGAAAATGAGGACTGACTTGTTTTTCCATTTTCATTTTTATTTTTCGTTTTCAAATCAAAAATGGAAAACACCTTGTTTTTTGGTTGTATGATTTTGTTTTCAAATTGAAAACCGAATGAACAAAACGTACACAGACCATTCTGATATAATTATGATCATTTGATTAACACAAATTTATGTTCATGGCAAAGACATGGTTGGTTAGGTTGTTTACTTAAAGCTTCTGAAGTAATCAAGTCTACTGGAAACACCTAGTGTTTGTTCCTGAACATTTTCTGATGATTAGTACGGTGAAATTAGTCCCTGGTTAACAAATGTTTCCAATGCAATACAGTCAGCTTGCCCTGGTTTCATCCATGTACTTCTTAGAAATTAAGCCAATATCAAAGGACACTTGTTCTGTAGAAGATATGCAAATCTGTAAGCTACATTTCCTTGGATTAAACAACACCGGTAGAAACAATTGTTTTTAAACATGTCTTTCCTCGTAAACAGAGCTTAATACAACTTGATTACTTCAGTGAATAAATAGTGTAACCAAAGGTAAACGGGATTATACTCAGTGAGGATATTATACCAATACAGTTCATTTTCAAATATATAAAAAATCACCATAGCTGTCAAGGGATACATACACTGTAATCCTACTTTGTGAGGCAGAAATTCTGTTGGAGTTGTTGATCCGAGTACTGGTTGAAAGACCTCTTAATCCATCTTTTAGACTATGATGGATTTTAAGCTTTTTCATTCACTGTATTGTTAGATTTCATAGGTTTAAGCCACACAAGTGTGCTTACCATTGCCATTTATCTCCATTTTTCAGTTTTACCAGTCATCCAACAGTCCAGACCTTCGCCTCATCACCCAGCTAGCGTCTACTACTCCATCGTTTGTTAATTCTTCATCTTGTAAAACCCATCATCAATCAACATGCTCAGTGGTCTTGCCGAGTACATCTTTGGGAACTCAGCCGGAGGAGAGGTGGAGCCAGCATCGGCTGAGGGGGTGGGGTCAGGTACAAGACCAAGTGCTAGCATGCAGATCACCTACACCGAAGATGACTGGGTGCTCGTCGATGTCACCAGTAGGTTCTTAAACAATGTAGTTCAAATGTTTGGTTCTTTAAAAGTTTTCCTTCTAGAAATGTTCATACACCAGTAGAACAATGTTTATATACATGTACATGTACTACTTTTTTACTACCTGCCTGAAGGCCATTTCAACTTCATTGAATTAATTCCTTCTGAAATGACTTAGCTTTTTATTCATGTATTCGAAAATAAAAAAGGGCCAGCATTCATTGGAATGTTCTGAAAAAAAAAAGATAAACTAATTATTAATTTTGTAAGGCACGCAAAGAAATGTTTTGAAAAAAAAAATGATAAACTAATCATTAATTTTGTAAGGCATGCAAAGAAATGTTCAACTTTGTACCAGTTTTCAGCTTTGGAGTACAATTCATTTTGCTTCCAATTCAGCAGGCTCATAACAAACTTCCAGCTAGTACATTCTGGTAAGAAAAAAGTCCTCCAATCTAGCCAAAAAATAGAAGAGGCATTTGGTTTTTGCATTCAAAAAGCTTGAAAATCTGAGCGCTGTAGAATGCAACGTTCACTTTCTGATATTTACTCCCCCTGCTTGGTTTGAAAATTCAAGACCTAGAAGGCCTTGGGTCTGGTTTAATTAAAAACTGAACTCTCCAGGCACTGTACTGTGTTGTATTCTGTTGATTATGGGGAGTCATTGACTGACCTTAAGCCCAGCTTGATAAGCTTTTCCATTAGCTTAACCATGCATACGCCATGGGACTTCATAATGCAATTTTGTACCTAGGACCATTTCCCATTGAGCCAGTTAATGCATGGATAATGGCATGCTAGCATCCACTGATGCCACTATGGCCTGAATCACTGTATTCATGTTCATAAATTGGAGTAAATCAAATGGAAACAGACCCTGTAACCCGGTAACACAAAAACCTCGTCATGGCATGATGTTTGTATGACTCAAATGTGCACACCTGAAAGACGGGAATGAGAAGGGTTTACATAAAGATTCATGTACATGTATACTGTAGATTGCATTTAAGCACAGCTCCGTCAGTCATGAATCTTGTTTTTAAATGCTGGTCATCTACATGTAGCCAAATGTGATTTCCAAGTTTCCCTGTACATATATGTACGTGTACATGCATATGGATTTCTTGTAGGTATTTTGAAGGCATGTAACCAGAACAGAACCTGAACAGAAACTGAGGGAGAAGGTGACTTGTTTTCAATCCAAATCACAGAAAAGCACACTTAATATTGCATTTTGATGCCTGTTAATTCAGATTTTGTTTTCCGTTCTTTTTGTCCTTGACACAGTATCACTCCTACAAATTTGAACAAAATGCAAACAATCAGCTCTTTCACTTTCCACATAACATACCCTTTCTGTTCCTTGATCAATTAACCCTGCCTGCCAGATATTCCTATACCAAGGATATCTTTGGTTATAAGATGTGTGGATGTGTTTTCATTTTAACTGGATCTCTGCATTAAATACATGTAAATGAAATGAGCAAATTTTATAAAATGCACATAAAAATGGCAGGAAAAACTGTTGTGTGACAATGATACAGGATTTGGGGGGGGGGTGTTATACATCTTACACATGAAAGATACATGTAGCAAGCGGTGACCCACCTAACATGAAGGGTGATTATGTTTTGTTTATTGTGTCAATCAGACAGCCCCAAGCGGGCTAGGGAATCCCACCAGAGTGACAATCAACATAACATCCAACCTCAAGGAATCCCTGTCCCTCATCAGCTAGAGGAAAGCTGGTTGGTTACCCCTCCTCCATGCTTCACAGCTGGGGGTAACGTCCCTCAGGAACTTGCCACAAGTCCCATGGAGAATCTTCTCATCGAGCACCCTAGCATGTCTGTGTATGGACCCCGAAGTAACTCCATGGTAATCAGGGCAAGAAGAACCAATCAGCATGAAGCAGGCACCAGTCAGGTTGCTAAGCGGCCCAAGCCGCGCAACCTGCGAGTGCGAAATGCCGAACCGCCGCGCCGAGCAGAAGCTGTGGCAGCTAGGTTGGGTCTGGAGAACCCACCAAACTTGGCAGCTATCCAAGAGGCAGAGGCCATGCAGCGCCAGAAGAGGGGATCACTCAGCAGGTCAAAGGTCGAGCGTCACAATAAAGCCTACCACCAGCAAAACCGTTCGGGGAAACGTCACTACCGTCAGAATATGTCGGGCAGACACTCCCGTGTCACCTACAAGCAATGCTAGTCATCAAAATCGACAAAAGCAAATCCTTGCTTAAAACAATTCAATTAAAACCCACAAAAAAATTCATTTTTCAGTCTCATTTGAAATACAAAACAATTCCAGAATTTCTGTGCACATTTGGACATCTTTTTTTTGTCAAAACGTGCAAAACAAAGATTTTGAAATATTTCAGTAGATTTTATTCAAAGAGAACAAGTTGCAGATTTAACCAGGGTACCATGATATATATTTGTAGATGCACAACTTGTTGGTGGAGAGCGATTTTTTAACTGTTTATAATCCATAGTCATAATTCTCTTAATATATATGATATTTATTATCAAAACTATATTTTAGTCGTATCTGTAGTTTAGGAGTGTTTAAATAGTTCAGACTTACAGAAAACATGAAGCCATCTAACGGCAGTTTTTATGACTTCCACAGATAGTGTTTCTTTGCATATTTAGAGAAGCACATTTGTTAATCTCTAACAGTTGCAAACATTATTTTAAATTTGTTAGTGTGAGACTACAGTGTGTAAACTGGTGTTTTACATGAGAGTACTTGAAGAGCTGAGTTCTACCTGGGAGTGCTTGAAGAACTTAGTTTCTCAGGTTGTGTTTCGTGGTGTTTTTTACCAAATACTTACAGGTGTTTGGTGCAAAACTTGGATGGAAAAATTGATTACTTTTAACACTAAAAAAAAGATCAAGATAAGGTAATTGGATGAGAAATTTGACATAATACACTTTACCAACATTGAAGTTGCCAAGTATTGCCATTTTTTTTGCATTTAAAGTCCAATTTGTCAGTTATTCTGTTTTGTTTGAGGTTCCAAAAATGTTCAACTTGTAATATATAATGAGTTTGCTCATTTCAAATTGTATTCCTGTGTGGTGTTTTATCTGTGTCTTAAATCCGTATGTACCCTCAGGAAATACCAAAAACAAAAATGGTCTTTCAATTCAAATTACTGTCTGTGAATGTGAGAGTTTTGTGGGTATTCTGGGTTTGGGCCAAACAGTCTAATCTATCAATCTGATGCTATCTCATTCTTCAATTTTAATTGAAGTTTCTGCCTTAAGCAATATCTACTAGACTGTGGATGTCTGTCATGTAAAAGTGTATATATACAGGTACCCTGAGAATGATTCATTTCACACAGTATCAATACATTCAGATATGCTGCATACATGTATTTGTGCATTGACAGTGTGACAAGTGTGATTATGTTTTACGCAGACATGTGACATGTGTACTTGTCCATGTGTGAGAGAAACTTTGACTTGAGTGAAAGTATGGTAATATGTGTATTGAGAGTAGGTGCATGGTTAGACCTTCCCAGATTGGGGGAAATTTCTTTTGTTAGGAAGTTCGGGACAAAGTTATGGGGACAAACATTTGTCCAAGTTTTGTTTTTGGTCCCATCAAATTTGGTGCAAAGACGAGTGTACCATATGTCCCTCAACTACGGAAGAAGTATGTGTGTACATCTAAATGCATGAAGAAATTGTGTGATAATAACTCAAATTATAATACTAATAAATACATCCAAATCTGAAATTTTGGTCGACCAATGCAGTGGTGCTAACATGGTTTTAAAATGGAATCTTAAATTAAGATCAATTTTCACAAAGTTGTAACCAGACAGTTCCATTTTTGCCAAGAAATGCTAAACTCTAATTTCAATTTACACTATTCAGGGGAAAAATCCAAAGTCACCATACATGTGCCTCCAGATGTAAACAGAATTTGTGTTTGGTATGCTTGGAATTGAATTCTTGCAAAGGATGCAGCATAAACATTTTGAAGGAACACAAATAATTTGACTTCACTGCATGGTGATATATTGTGCAGAGACTTTGTGCATACAACATAACACTAACATTTTGTAGTGTGATGAACATTTATTGATAAGAAATTCAAACATTCCATCTATTATAATCTTGGCCTTCTCTCAAGATACTGCCTAAATTCTGTGTTGTAAAAACAGAAGTGCAGATGTCAATGTTGTTGGCATAATCCTGAAAAACAAGGCTAAGTTTTTGGTTGGCTTTAACAAAAGCAGAATGCCAGAGCAGTCTTAAGTCCTTATGATGCAAACCAACATCTAGCCCATGATAGCTGATTTCAAGATAGGGGTCTCTAAATGCTAATCTGTTTAGGGGTTAAACCAGAT